GTAGTTCGGTCCGAGCAAAATTGTACGCTTATTGTTAATTACACGGCTACGTAATAAAACTACGTGCAAATACATGTTTGTATAAAACTACGAAAATGCGTAATTAAAACTATTTGAAAGGTATTTAAATATATTTCATATTAAAATTAAATCAAGAAAATCGGGAGTTTCTTTTGAACCTTAAATTCAAATTATGCTGGAAATGTAAACATTAAACTTTGACCAGTCTCTCATTCGAAATCTAATGGTTCCATTGTTAGGACAGTCAGATTAACAAAACCTAAAATGCCAGTGTCGATAATGAAATCTGTGAAATGCAATTCAGATCTATAACTTTTAGTACGGTGCAATAAATGCAAGGAATTGCATGGTAGAATTTAATACTTGTGGAAGAGAGCTGGTATCATACTATGATTTCGGTAAACGAAAAAATTTAATTTGTATTTGTTGGTGATGTCGATAAAATTGAAAATCGAGGATTTTTCGAGTTCCTTTTTAAATTATAGAAACGCTTTCTACCAGCAAATCATTCAGCAGTATTGGCCGGGGTGGCAAATGTTTGAGTTATTCACACTTTGAAAGGTCCACGTAGGAAAAAATTACTGCTAACATATACTTTGCTATTATTTCAAAGAGAAAATATTATCGTTTTAATTTCAAGAATAAACAAAATTTGAAACTTAATTTCACATATGAAGCCAAATGAAGGAAATAATCTGATGTAGTGTTCTAAATCCTAAACACTATTCAAGTAAATGTTTAAAATCTTCCCCATTTTTAAAAATGCATTAGTTTATATCTCTTAAATTGCTTATTTCTATGACTGTTTAAAGATATTTTACTTATTACGCGATGTTGTTTATTTAGTTATTTAATATTTAGTAACTAAATAAACAACATCGCGTATTAATATTTAACTAAATATTAAATATAAATTTCTTTGTTAAATTAATTTTACTTGGGTCAGATTTTGAAAACGGTTTTTGAGTGATTTTGTACAGCCAAAATTCATGATAATTTTCACATATACATATTCAGGATTAAAATAACATGTTTCATATCTCGATTGCAGAATATTTTGGTTTAAGATTGTAAATTTAAAACAAAATATTTAATACTGATTGTATTTAACTTTCTTCATATACAATAATTTGAGTAAAGACATATTATTGCACATGAATTCAAATGTATTCTTGCTGAAAACTAAATTCAATATCTCAGAACACATCATGGGATAGATTGTAAATAATAATACAAAGGAAGGTAGTTCAAAATCTCTGATTAAATTTGTCAAAGATAACTTTTGAAAACCCGATTCATTGGTAACTAACGATGATTGCGAGACTTTTAATAATGATAAATTTCAAACTCAAAATTGTCAAATATGATTCAGATAAATTGAATACAATGTAATAAATCAGGTATTTTTGAAAGAAATTCTTAAATTATTGCATTTTATTGCTATCTTGATTAAAGTGAAAAATTTTCCTGCATTCCGAAGAAAAGATTTTTCGGTATTTTTCCTGCATTTAGAAGAAGAGAAATAACATTACGACCATGTTGCTTGAAAAAAATCTTATATATATATAAGATTGTTTTTTTAAGCAACATGGTCATATTTAAATGAGCTAGACACAATTTTTAGTTTTTTTCATCATCATATGTAATAAAATCAAAAGCATGCAAGCATTCTTAATTGTATGAGAACAAGTCAAAAATTTTAAAAAAGCAGTGCACTTGATAAAATGACACGCTGTAAAATTATTATATTACGTGACATTTAATTTTTAGTGACATATCACCAAGAAAGTTATAACAGCTAAAAACTGTGCATTAATTTTAAATCTTTCAACTTAAAAATTAGTTCATGTATTCATGAGAAACTTATTTATATGGAAGATAAATAACGCATAAAATAAAATAATAACTTTAATCTGTAATAAACCCAATATGTGCCCTTTTAATTTAATTATTCCCCCTTCTTACCTTATCAATAGTAACTGCTAATAATAAATATCTCTAAACCGCGTTATTTCAAAATTAATCCATGTCATATAATTTTTACGTAGCACTAATGACGCAGGTACTTGGAGAATCGTTTTTTCAATAATAATAATGAATTTCATGAATGGAAACCCAGATTAGCAGATACAAAAATATAGAACTATATTAACACCTATATAACTAGCATTCGGTTTCCACTTTTCTATTTTGCTGGTATTCTAACATTTCTTTTCTCTTTGCTTCAAACTTATTGTAAAATTGTTAAAATTTATTAAAGAATGGAGGCACTTTTTTTCGCCGATGTAACTGTGTTTCAGTCAAGAAATTGTTTTGCAATCAATAAAAGGTTGCATTCAACCACCTGGGACAGATTGTTTATTTTTATGCATCTACGTCATCAAGATTTTTGTGTTTGCATGGGTTTGTGCGTTTGGAGTGATTAGCGACAAGACTTGATGAAGTATCACAGCACAATTTATTTGCCAGTATTACGCAGGACAGCTCCAAAAACCCGTTTACAGTCGTCGAAAAACTACACAAGAAGGCTGAAACAATCACCAACACAGCCTTCAGGCTATAAAAGCGAAGACAGCTTCACTGCAAAGCACTAGAGCACAGCTCCCGACTCGATTCGGACGTTCTCTGAAAACGTACTGTCGAGTCTCTCCACGCTCGAACTCGCAATGTACTCGACGATGTAGTAACTCGCGATACACTGACGAGACACCTCGACACTAGACTACTACTCCGACTGCCTGCAGAGTTTATATATGGCTTTTAGCCCGCCTACGAGAACATTCTGGGTCAAACCGGTAAGAATTCGTTCCAGAATGTTCTCCATCCATCTATGGCAAAGCGCCAATTCTTAGCCAAATAGGAGATTTATCGCCAAATATGGCAACGCTGTCTTACCTTGCCATTTTCTGGACCTTAAACCTGTTTTGCGGGGAAGCTTCCTGTACTGCAGCTGGACATTTCGTAGCAATACTTAAAATATTACATATATGTAATAAATATATATACCATACCCACAAAAGAAAAGTCACTAATCGGTCTTCCTTTTCGCACCCATGAACCCATGGGCAGATACAAAAATATAGAACTATATTAACACCTATATAACTAGCATTCGGTTTCCACTTTTCTATTTTGCTGGTATTCTAACATTTCTTTTCTCTTTGCTTCAAACTTATTGTAGATGTGTACTTCCAGTTGCAAAATTGCTTCAAATGATGCAAATGACCATATTTTGGCAATTTTAAATTTCAAGAAATCCTTTTTTTCACAAAAATTACAAAATTCAACATTTTCCAGTCCATCCTGTCTGCACACTTATGTTTAATAAAGTTTCGTGCTTGTTAGAAAAAAATAAAAAATAAGTTCGGATACAATGCAACAAATATTGAGCGAAATATTTAATTTCAAATTTTGTTGTTTTTGCCATTTAATTCAAATTGAATTGAGGGGTCGGCTAATGAATCATTTAGAGTAATTAGATTTTGACTAGTTTATAATTACTAAATTATTAATTTATAAGTCTAAAATACATTGTTAATATTCTCATGAAGTTTTATTACTTATGAATAACAATCTGGTGATCGTAAAAAAATCATTAAAATACCTACAAATATTTTAAACCTTTATTTAATGCAAATAAGATTACGAGTTGGCTGCTTGTCAATACTCTATTTTATGGAACATGTATTCTATAGGATTCTGTGAATAAGATCTCGGTTTTGAAACAAAAAAAATTATGTTCATCAATATTTTTCGTACTGACCTGCGCAGAATTGTTCGTCGCTTAATATTTTTTTTCCTAAACCATATTTTATTTACTTGTAAATATTTCATTTCTCAGTTTATGTATGGCTTCTAAATATGATCTCGGATTTTTTTTTATGTCAAATATCTTGATTAATCTATGTCACACTGGAAACACAAATCTTACGTTTTTGTGTTTTACAACTACTGCAATAGTTTCCTAAATATAAATATGAGACCGAAGGAAAAAACGCACAAAATGGTCAATTTCTTAATTTTTACAAAGTTGATTTATTTAAATTTAGAAATGTCACACCATGAAACTTTTTGTCATTTAAAGCATTACTGTTATTGGAAGTGTGCCTTTGACTAATGATGGAGGAAATAGAGGCCACTTAAAGAACTTTTGTGGGGCGCGGTGTCTGAGGTCGCGAGGGTAGGGATTCAATTCAGTAAATTTATTGAAATGCTTCACCTAAAATTTACGTACTCCCGCAGTTATTCCTAAGGCTCCTAGTACCTGAAATGCTTCGCTAACTGAAATAAAAGCTTATGATAACAGTGCAACTAGAGTAATATCAATTAATTTGGACTTAACAACCGGAATTTGTTTCAAGCGTAGAACTTAGGATAACAGAAAAATAATTTTGAGCTATCATCGTCAGATTCGTGATAACCCCCAGAAGCTCAGATTTTTAAAAGTGACAATGCTACAGGAAGAGGAACAGTTAATGTTATTAAGTGTTTGAAGTTATTAAGTGATCAGTGCAGCCCAACCGGTGAAGCGGTTAGCATCGCTGACTGCTGTGCCGAAGGGCACGAGTTCGAATCCTTGAGAAATGTTTGTAAATGTATAGTTTCCGTGTGGCAGGGGGCACTCTAAATCTGCAGCAATCGGAAAGTCCTTTCGATAGGTTGGTGGTAGGAGAAAACGGGTGGAGGACTTTCGGACCCGTCCTTACGAGTGCTCTCCATCAATATTGAGGGCGCAACTGCGCTACATCGCTCTGTCACCCCAAGGCGTTGAAGGCTGTTGCCAACGACAGGCTTAAACTTGCGCTTGCCATGATGAGTTTGTGGGCTTGGGCTGACTGTAGATAAGACAAGTAAGCATTAACAACAGTAATCAGTGATTCTTAACATACTATGATACTAGTTTCCGATCAAATTGTTAATCTAGTTAGTTATAATTAAGTTCATGAAGTTCGTATAATAAATAAAGTTCTATTCAATAGGTGACATGCCAGAAAACCGGCTGAAGTAACATCGAGCACCGTTTCTTCACAGCTCAGTGGAAACAGCCAAGAATCAGGTAAGTCATTTAAAAGCGGATAATTGGGTGGGGATTTTAACGCTTTAAAACAGAAGGTCTCGTCTATTCTAAAGGGAAAATACGCTTTTGAAAATAAGTGGTGAAATATAATTTAATTACATCAACAAAATGGTATGATACAGAATATTTATAATTCAGTTCCTTCCATGTGTAAGATTTAGATAAATATTAAGGTTTCCTTCATCCAAAGATTTCATCAGAAATCTAAGAAAGATGGAGTAAATTAAATAAGAATTAGAACATACAGTATGGTTTTAAAAAAATTAGTACAGATATTGTAAAAAGTCAGTAAGAAATATTAACACTTAAATCTGAGCAGAATTCGAATAGTTTGTTATTAGTAACATGTAGGGTAATCGAGAAGAAAAGAAAGGTTAGTTTCAGTAAGAGTAAGATAGCAAAGAAGTAGAAAAATGTATTGAAATACGAATGACAGCAATCGGCGCATAAGAGGTTCCGAGCATCAGAAGTCGTAAGTTGATAATTATGAAGAGTAAATATTAGAAGATTGGGAGGACGAAAATTAGTAATAAAAACATATCGACATTTTATGAATGAAATCTCTTGCAGCCTTCGTAATAAGAAAAGAGAATCTTTTCAATAAAAGACTATGCAACTGCTTATGCAGGGTGATTTTAAATTACTTTACAAATTAAGAGGGGTAAAAGTACTCATCCAGGTGAGCAATAATTACCATAGAACATAGGATCGCATTCCGCTCTGAGAGGCAGAAAAGAAGAATATTAGAATTCCAATCTGAACTTAAGCAGTGTTCGGAGAGCGAATGAACGAGACTAAATGTTGCACAATCAGTTTAGTGACAAACTCACAGAGAGTGCACAAAACGGATAAAACCTAAAACTTGGCGTTCGAGTGTTAATTAGAGCTGAGACTTTGACGGCAAACACTCAAATGCACATCTTTGGTTGGCAAGGTCTCAACCTCGCAAATGATTGCACAAGTTAATTATCTAAATTATTAGAGGGAAATTATCTATTAGGGGGAAAAGCTACTTTGATATCAAGTATCAAGTTAGCAGTTGTTTTTCTCTTTGCCATCTTCTATCCTGGACTTACTCTGCTGCGCTCATTCTACATGAAGCTGCCTTCTATGGGATACGAAGTTCTGATAGCAGGAACACAGCATGAGCTTTTCATGCTAATGTCGGCATGCAGCGGACGTTGGAGTTAGTAGATAATATTCAGCTTTTGATTACATAATTAACTCGTTGCAGTTGTTTGGATGTTGAGACCTTGCCAACCAAAGATGTGCATTTGAGTGTTTGCCGTCAAAGTGTCAGCTCGAATGAACACTCGAACGCCACGTTTTCGGTTTTATCCGTTTTGTGCACTCTCTGTGAGTTTGTCATTAAACTGAGTGTGTAACATTTGGTCTCGTTCATTCGCTCTCCGAACACTGTTGTAAGTTGAGATTGGAATTCTAATATTCTTCTTTTCTGCCTCTCGGAGTGGAATACGCCCCTATGTTCTATGGTAATTATTGCTCATCTGGATAAGTACTATCACCCCTCTTAATTCGTAAAAGTAATTTAGAATCACCCAGTATAAGAAAACACCAAAATGTCTGCGATGCTTAAAAATCTGAGTTACTAAGCAATAAAATGCTGAACAGTATTAAGCAAGGTATAGAAAATCGTAACAATATTTTGTTTAGAAAAAACGTTATATAACACAGTGTTTATTTACAAGCTAATGTTATCTTGCTTGTAAATAAACATTAGGAATAAATAATAACTAGTCAAAAGGAGATAAACACGCCACATAAAAGTATACTAAGTTGACTAAATCTACGCGAAACACAAAGTTGTTGCTTTGCCAATTTTACAAATCACTAATGCTCAGACTCGGTATTTTTCCTAAATATCGATATTGTATTAATCATGGGATACTGAAATCAAGAAAAAGAGCTGAAAGCAAGCTGTTGAGGTCTGATACGGAACTGAAGAACGGGATCAATAAAATTCACATTTGCATTCACACATGAAACGAATTCTTTGTCACCTACAAAGCAGGAGCATGTTCGACATGCCAAACCCAATTTGGAAAAAAGAGTTTTTGAACTGAAAAAAAAAAAAAAAAAATTCCAGGGAAGTTCATAGCCATAATGAATTCAGTTTAGATTATTTGCGCCAAATGCAAGGTTGGCTAGTCATAAAAATTAAATGTTTTATTTTCTCAGCTAATAATCGGCCCCTGAACTTAAAAAAATCTTGAAATAAGTAAAACAAAACGAAATCTCGTTCTAACACTGGACCAAAAAATAAAAGAGAAGACGGTAGCTGATATTCCTCATCAGTCAATATCTGGGAGGAGCAATTCAGTTGTGGTTTTGTACTTTCCGCGAACACACAAACAGGGGGCGCAAAACTGTGGATCAATTCGCTGAGTTTCTAACCCTGGAACAATGGAAACCGTTCTTCTCCTTCCTCCTTTCTTCTTCTTTTTTTCTCTACTTTACTTCATGCTTTTATTTACTTCTTTTCCTTTTCGCATTCGTGCATGGCTGCCTGCAGTCTTTAGGCTCCAAAAAGCCATTGAGGCATAAAGAGTCCCTTTGCGAGACACTTCGCACTGCAGTGATTCGGCTGGAGAGAGCATCTGGGATGGTTCGGCACTGTAGGGTGGTAGTGGGGAAGATGCAGCAACAGCTGCCGATACTTTGAGGAACACTCAGGGAGACAGCGGTATACGACATTAAGGAACCTCGTGAGAGATGCTCTGATTCTCATCTTGTTCAGGAAGCTAATCGACACGTGAAAGCTAGCTTCTCTTTATCTAAATCAAATATCTTCCCTGCTGAAAGATCCTTTCTGAGCTAAAATTGTACACTGTCTTATACAGCACATAGTACGAATATATATACACATAGTATGTTAATCTATTTACTAAAGAATATTTTATTATCTCCTAATAATAATTATATTATCTCCTAATATTAAATTTAGTAGAAGTATTTAAAAAGAGTGCTGCCATAGGTAGGATGTTTAATTCCGAAAATTGTTTTAAAGTAACTTGAATGTAAAAAATTGTTAAAAATGTTTTACGGGGACTTGAAGTAAATCATGAATAACAAAATTTCAATTGGAAAACGAAATTGATTTAAAAGCAAGCAATTATTGTTATTGATCGGAAACGAGTTGACTTTTCAAGGGGAACAAACCAACTTCCGTTCACTGAACAATAATTAATAAATAAATAAATACGAAAGTGTTTATTTATTTATTAATTATTGTTCAAGTAATAATTCAAGTAATAATTCAAGTAATAATGGTGATGCCAGACTGGCAAATTAAGTTAGGCCAAATATTTCCGTCAAATGAAGGTATTTGGAACCAAAGTAGAGTACCAAAGAACTCATTCTTATTAAGCATTTTCGCTAATAGAATTTTGAGAAAAGCAATTTATGTAGTAAAATTGATAAAATACTTGAGTCATTGTCCCCCGACTCCCTCGTTTTTATGCATTTTAATTCAAAATTATTTGTAAAAGATCAATCATTGGTAATCTTAAATGGAATTATGAAATAGAACTCAAAGTAATTGAAAAAAACCTTAGAAAATGAAGAAATATAATGCAATCTTTGCAAAAACAAATCAATTAATAAAAATTGAAAATTAATATGTGTAATAAGAAAAGAGAATATACATGACGATATAAAAGGCCAGAAAAAGCATTAATTAACATACGTTCTTTCTAGTGGGATGTGGGCAAAGTGTTGTCTTCTGCGTCTTTCTCAGAAGGGTTGTGTGTCCGAAATTCTTTATCGGCAGCGGGGGCTTTGAATTATTTCAGGTGGCGAAACTTGTGAGAAGTAATTTATGGGATAAGAGAGGGATTAGGAATGCTTGAGAAACGTTTGTTGCGGATTTCTTATGTGAATGAAAACGTCTATTAAAATTTTGAATATACTAGTGAATGGAAATTAATTAATTTCTGGCTAACTGTCGTGTCGGAACGAGGAAGAAATTAAGAAAAGGAACAAAGTAATTTTCACTGTCAAAGAGCTATTTGACAGACTTATGTATTCGTACTACGTGTTGAGAGAGCTAAAATTGTACACTGTCTTACACAACACATAGTACGAATATATATATGTATAATATACATGTTATGTGTACGATGTGTTCCTTTTCTAAATATTGAACCAATGAATTAACATTTCATATGTATATGTAAGATAAAAAATATGTGAATGAAAATTATAATTTAAACTAACAGTAAAACGTTAATTCTCCCTCTCTATTCTAAAAGTCGCAATAACTTCTCTGGATTGCGTCATTTCTAGATCATTCTATGGTCTGCGCAGCTCTGATAATTAGGAACTGAAACGACCATCGTAAAAACAAAACTTTTTCTCTTCTTGCGCTTCCATCTTGCACACGCACTTCAGCTTCTGGCTCTGCTTTCCTTTCGCTGATGCACTTTCGCTGTGCTGCTTGCTACTGCAATAATATTAAAACTGCAAATATTATTAACAGGCACGACTAGGGTGCCAAAGGATTGTGGCCACAAATATCAACTGTAAATAAAGCACCTCACAGCCATCAGCAAGTTGTCACGCTGATTTGCATTATAGAGGATTTGCCTATTTTTATCAAAGTTTATATTGTTATTGCACTGAATTTTTTACTTACTATATTCTTTACTTACTATATTAAGATATATTTAATATCCTAAATAATCAATTAAAATTTCATGTATCTGTAAAAGAAAATTTTGGTTTTACATTGGCAAGATCAATGTTTATGAAAGACTTTCAAGTTAAGGACTGCGAAATATTGACTTTGATTAATGTTTAAGCAAAGATTTTACAGAACTGTGAACTTTCTTGAGGAAAATTAGGTCGTTCTTTACGATGAACTTGAAAACTTTAAATTTTCAATAGGATTTTCAATCTGAATGTATTGTTAAAAATGATATCTGTAAGGTTTTATACTTTAAAAAATTATTTATATCAAAATTTTGTGATTTGTTTTCTCACTGTTGTATTTACCTAGTTTTGCTAATTCTGTAATGCTTTCTTTTAAAAAGACTTTTCTGTCGCCATACCCTTTTTCTCTTTGAAGAAGGGAAATGTGTAAGATAAAAAATCCGTGAATCAAAATTATAATTTAAACTAACGGTAAAATATTAATTCTCCCCTCTCTATTCTAAAAATCGCAATAACGTCTCTGAATTGCGTCATTTCTAGATCATTCTATGGCCTGCGAAGCTCTGATGACGTAATAATTGGGAACTGAAACGACCATCGTAAACCAAAACTTTTTCTCTTCGTTAGCTTCCATCTTGTAAAACTACGCACTTCAGATTCTGGCTCTGCTTTGCTTGGATGCACTTCCGCTGTGCTGCTTGCTACTGCAATAATATCAAAACTGCAAATGTTCTTAACAGGCACGACTAGGGTGCCAAGTGGTCTGTGGCCACATAATGTCAATTGAAAATAAAAATGGAATTAAAATCGTCTCGACTGCCAAGTTTTATTTACGAAATCAACACATTAGCTTACAATGCAATCAGAATGCAGGATAACTACACATCAATGCAGGATAACTACACATCAACAGTGGTCCGTCTTTCCTTTACTTTTATTATGCCATACATATAAATATGTAAATATATGTAAGAAAAATAAAGAATATGTAAAAGATTAAGTTAGTAGCTTAAATTCCTTTCTGCGTTCTAAAAAATAGTAACCTCTAGTTTGCACTGGGTCATTTTGAGACTAAAGAATGTAATGCATTTCTTACGTAATTCTGATGATGTAAATGGAACTAAAACTCAAACAGTCAATAGTAGCTTTACATCAATATTAACTATCCAATCAAAATGCATTGAAGTCTGTCTACTCCTTCTACCTTACTGCAAATTTATCTAAAATGTAAACTTTTTGAAATAGGTCCAATTAATGTGTCAACTTCTTTGTGGCCGCAACATGTTTGCTGAAACAAAAAATGAAGATTTAATCTGCCTTCGCCTCCAATTTCCCATTCATTATGGATCAACACTTCTACGTCATCAAAATTCTTGCTTGTCATTACTTCTAAGTTCTATTTTATCATGTATATGTTACGGTGAAACACCGAAATCTGGAGAATGTCGACTCTCACTGGTGAATGTCAACATTCACGTAGTCGCTTGGTGTATGACGAAATATTTTCCAAATACTCTTATTTCTGATTTACACCAGTAAATGTCGACATTCACCATGTACTAATGGTAAATGTTGAACATATAAGAATATGTTCTTTATGAATATGAAAATTTTATTTTATCATGTATATGTTACGGTGAAACACCGAAATCTGGAGAATGTCGACTCTCACCGGTGAATGTCAACATTCACGTAGTCGCTTGGTGTATGACCGAAATATTTTCCAAATACTGTTATTTCTGACTTACACCAGTAAATGTCGACATTCACCATGTACTAATGGTAAATGTTGAACGTATAAGAATATTATATTTCATTCTCCGTAATTCAGTCGCGAAAAAACGCACTTGAAGCTTGAAATAAGAACTTAAGAACATGAGAACCTAAAACACACAATACATTCAAAATAAGAAAGGAAAATAATAGAAGTTAAAAACTTACTGAATTATACAGCACGTTCTAAATGAGAAAATAAAATAATAGTAATAAAAAACTTACTAAATTATGTGATTCAAATCTTATTTATTGCAACAACTTAAACTGTTATGGCAGTTTGAATTGTCGACTCCTCTCTTTTCGACCTACACCAGAGCATATCTGTGATTGTCGACATGTACTGGTGATGGTCCGAATGTACAAGAATGTAGTGCAATATTCGATCTTTCATCTACGTATTTGGTGAATGTTGACATTCTCCGGTGAAAGTGGACATTCATCAATTTCGGTCTTTCACAGTAACATATATATTATGTGTTAATAAACATATGATAGCAAAAACGCATAAATCCAAGAATAAGAAAAATGAGAGACCCGATTATTGAGGTTAGCTAATTAACTTGTTACTACTTCTATTGAATTTAGAAAATAAATCTGAAACTTTAATTTTTGAAATCAGTTTTTCATTATGCCTTCTTTTTAAACACAAACTAAGAGAATTACTGTGAATTTTGTATCATTTTGATTTATTGGTTTTTGTTTTAGTTTATCATTTTGTTTATTTGTATACGCTCTGTTCATTTTCTAAATATTTAACCAGCGAATTAACATTAAATTTCTACACCTCACTTTTGCCAATTTAAATTATATAATAATAATAACGGAATGATATAATATCAAAATTCAATCAATAAATTTGCGTGCTCTCTAGTTTCATGTTTACTACTTTTAACACGTTATACAGCTCCAGGACTTGTTATTTTTCAATTATTACTTTATATACAGTATATATGATGTAATTTAACTCTTTCACATCGAAGTCGTCCCAAACGCCCGAGCATTCAGACATCGGTAGGTCGTCCCGAACCCCTGAATAATTTCCTACCTGGTGCTTTTCTCCATGACGTTGCTGCATTGCTCATTGCTTTCAGGAGTTGTTAAATGACACGTCAATCGTTCTTTTGAAGCGACTAAACGTAGTTCTGTTTTTTTAAATGCATCTTCTTTTTCCTTTGCTTACTCTCAATGTTTAGCTATTGATGCCCGAAGTTGCGATCCCGTCCCAAGGGAGAACTTCACACAGGGTGAAAGCATCCAAGAATAAGAAATAAGTTAATGGCGTTTAATAAAGTAATCAACAAATAAGTTAATACCGTTTAATAAAGTAATCAAATAAATACCAAAGATATTGTTACGTTTTTCTTCTGACACCAGTTTTTACGTTATTTTCTTCCTTCGCGTTGTCGCTTTACTTAAGTAGATTATTGTTAGCGCTGTAGTATTCAATTTGTCATGGGGGAAGGAAAAGCATTCCAACAGAAATTCCTATACACGGGCCTTTTAGATATTTAAGGAAGAGATTTGGTCCTCTCTCGATGCGAAAGCGTTAAAGGTTGCTGTTAACGATGGCAGTTTATTCATTACGAAATAGGAACGGAATAGAGAGAGAGAGTGCTCTATGAGAGCGCTCTAAAGAGAGACATTGTAGAGTCATTAGGTTATTTTGAAGCACGAAACATGAAAAATGAACAGTGCCCTCACAGGATTCGAACCTTGACATCTCGTATACACGCAGAGTGTGCTACCGTTACACCACGAAGGCATGCTGAAAGAGAGGGGAAAATACCTTCTAATGTAAAATTATGTTTACTAGTTCATCAGATTAACTGCAAATTTTACTATAAATACCCTGGCAATCCTAAACTACACACTTCTCTTTCTCTGGTTACTAGCTTGCTAGCTAAAGGAGGCCTCTTGCTTGTCCGATTCTATTCATTGTTAAAAATGTAGTATGTCGAAATAAAAAATATGGGTTCCAGATTGTCCCAATTGTGATATGCCGTTTAATAAAGTAATCAACAAATACCAAAGATATTGTTACGTTTTTCTTCTGACACCAGTTGTTACGTTATTTTCTTCCTTCACGTTCGTACGGGGTTCGTGAGGTTTGGAGTGAAAGATGACAATACTACTTGATGAAGTATCGAAACACACTTTATTGGCCAATATTAATCAGGACAGCTCCAAAATCTCGTTTACAGTCGTCGAACTGTTATAAACACGCTGGCACGATCAGCGACATGCTTTCGGGTTATCAAGGTATCACGGTAGAGACAGCTTCACTGCAAAGCACCAGAGTACAGCTCCCGACTCTGCTCGGTCGTTTTCGGAACTCCGCGTACTCTCGAGACTCCCTACACTACAACTCGCGATACACTCGACGACACACAGAGCACAGCTCCCGACTCTTCGGTTCAGTCGTTCCCGGAGCTCAACACGTTCTCTCGATGATGCACTAACCGCGATACACTAAGAGATTCTTCGATGCACTCGACGACCCACTCGGCACTCGCTGGCCGGCTGTCAATTCGATCGTCTCCGCACGGACTAAATTGATGAGAGACACACTCGATATTAACTGACTGCGGGCCAGCAATGTTTTTATAGCTTTTGGCTTGTGTTCGAGAACATTCTGGGCTAAACCAGTAAGAATTCGTTCCAGAAGGTTCTCTCACCGTCCATGGTATATCACCCATTTTGTCGCGAAATGGGCGATTTCTCGCCAAATGTGGCAACCCTGCCTTTCCTTGTCATTTTTTGTCAACCCTAAACTTGCTTTGCGGGGAAGCCAGCTTACCGCGCTTGTACATTTCGTAACAATATGTTTGGATTATAAAGTGATTTTATGATTCTTTGAAAATTCCCGGCGTCTTCTGCTATGTAATCGATGTTTTCTCGTGATCCCCTAACCTCAATCTGCTCACAATCGCAAAATAATGACCTCTTCCCTGGTCAAGCACTCATCTAATATCAAATGAACTATCACGAGCAAAATTATTGGATCACATGTGTATACACGACTGGCTTTCAGAGAGCTTGATAACTAATAATAGCAATAACAATGAACCGAAAAAGTATTCTACCAATAGGTTTATTTAAAAATGTGTTCTTTTTCCCCAACAGTTCCCAAAATCTACATGAGTTTCTGCATAATTTAATAAAAGATATTTTCTACCTCCTTTCCGCACGCCTTCGTATGTGAGTGGAAGCACGCTCGATGCGTATTCGGAGGATCTAGATTTCGATACCTGGCGAAAGCACTGCGGATTTCGTCAGTTTCATGATTTCGGAAAAGTTCTAATGACTCTACAAGTGGCTTTCGAACTTAAAATTGTCGGACGTTAATTCTTCGCCACCAGAATTTCTGATTGGATTCTCCTTATCCCCAGTCGCACGTTGACCACATGTTACACGCCGTGTTCTGACCTTCCACGATACGCAGGATATTCGATTGCTGCCGTGGCTTGCATGGTCTCCATATCTGTCATCCACTGAAAACATCTGGTCATGGGTTGCTGAGAGACTTTCCCGCCACTCCTCTCCAGCTAATAGGATTGATGAAGTATGACACAGACTTGAAACAAGGTGGAATGAATTGTCCGTTTCTGCCATCTAAGCTCAATTCGACTCTATGCCAAACCGGGTAAGGGCCATTTTAGCTCCCATGGGTGGCAGTTGCTTCTACCAATTTCGCCCGTCCCTGTAAACCCTCAAACTGCTTATAAATTTAGTCATTTTGTCTTCATGCCATACTAATTACGTACAATAAATATATATTTTTGTGTTTGCTTTCCTTCATGGTGTTGCAAGTTTAATGGCCAGCATTGTATTTGTCTGTTTTTTGTCTCAGTTTTCCTGTCCTTTCAAAAAGGACATATCTAAATGACTTCCAGGATTAGTCCTTTTTGAAAGTGCTAATGTAAGTGTAAGTGAAATTTACTAATTTCTGCCGAACAGAACTTGATGATTAATATTAAATGTACAAACTGAATTTCTGTGAGACATCT